AATATAGTCTCAAATTGATGTCAATAAAGTAAAAACTTTACAGTAGTTTCATTCAAATCCACTCCCCTTCCTCTCTACTCTACTTTAATCTTTAGTAGCCATTATTGTGGTACCTATTTCTATGATTTTGCTGTTATATAACATGCTATATGTTACAAAACACATAGCAGACATGCTACATAAATAGACCATAACCACCATAGCAGACATGCTACATATATAACCATAACCACCTTTTTCATTTGATTTCCTGTGGGGCCAACCAGATCCTTTTGTAAACTGACAGAATTCTCTGTGTTGCTGACTGGTGTTTCAGGAGCATCAGTTTATTCAGTGAATTTGCCTATGCAGGATGTTGAGCTATTTCTAACTTTATAATAAAACTGCTAAAAACATCTGTGTAAGGAGCTTGTGTGAACCTAAGGGTTCTTTTTTCTCTGAGATACACATGAGGACACAACTGTTGGGCCTTGCTCTTCCAGCTCATCCAGTCTTTTAAGCACACACAAAGTGCTTTAGGGTGATTTCCACATTTTACATTCCTACCAGTGATAGAAGACCGATGACAGACTCCTTTAATCAATAGCTGGTTTTGTTGTTCTTTTTCCATCCATCATTCTCATAGGTATAAGGTGAGATACAGTAGTTTCAGTTGGTATTTTTCTGATGGACAATAATTTTGATCTTTTATTGTGAGTTTATTTTCATATAAACCTTCTTTGCTGAAATGACTACTTAAGTCCCTCTTCATTTTCTAGTTAGAAACAGAATTTGTCCACAAATTTATCGACATTTCAATTTTAAGAAGTTTTAAAAAACATATCCTATGCTTTACTTCTTCATCAAATACTATGTCTGCAAATATGGTTTCTCAACTAACAACTTATTTTTAAATCTTTTCTTAGATCAAATAATACAATGAATTTAGCAAAATTTCCTTTTCTATGTTGTGCTTTTCATGTCAAAATTAATACTTTTTCCTAGTCCCAGATCTCAAAGATTTCTGTTTATGTTTCATGATAAATGTGTTGGAGTTTTGCTTCTGACATTTAATTGAAGCCTAGGATCCACAATAAGATGTGTTTTATATAGTGACAACCATCTTCTTTTGACATGTGAGTGTTCTGATGCTGTAGCGTTATCTGAAGAGACAAAAAGAGTGTCCCCCATCTTTTCGTCAATTGAGTTGCTATGCAACTTTGTTTTTTTTTTATTTTTTTTAAATCACTGGCCATATTTGCGTTGTATATGTTCTGATTTTTTTTCTGTTGTTTTTCACTGATTTTGAATCTGTCCCTTCATCCACTACATGCCTAGAATTACTCTAATGTGATATCTTTAGTGTTGTAGACTGGTTTCTATCCCTTTTAAATTTCCTAACAGATTTTAGATTTTCTGGTCACCTTCCATTTCCATATACATTTAATAATAATAATCTTTTTGGTAACCGTAAAATGGCCTTGCTGATAGGAAATAAGTCAAAGTTAGTATGAATTTGGAGGTCTGATGGGTTTTCAATTCCTGGCACAGCGGGAGCCTGTGCCTTGCCAGAGTCTCTGATTCTTTCCATTAGGATCTCATCACTTTTAGGCACCAGTCCTGTATATGTTTTATTAGGTAGCAGGTTTGTTGTTTCTTTGTTTTTCTCCTTAGTAACTTTAAATAACATTTTAACTTCAGTGTTCACAAGATCGTTTTGAGTATGTAAGAATAGCATCTTACACTTTGATCTTGTATCCTGAAACTTTGTAAACAGTTTTTAATCCTAGGTTTGTTTAAAAAAAAAAATCAGCAAAATGTTTTTTACTGGACATGGTGTCATATTCCTATAATCCTGGCAACCAAAAAGCTGAGGCAGGATGGTCAAAAGTTGTTAGGATATCAAGAACTGCACACCAAGATGAGATACATACACACATACATACATACATACGCACTTTAAATGTTAATTAATTAAAATTCTTTTCTGAGGAATGCCTGCATAGATAGTTACACATGCTGTGAAGTCAGAGCAGTTTTACTTCTTCCTGGCTAAGCAGCTTGCTTTTATCTCCCTTCCTTGCCTGTCACATGAGCCAGCACTTTCGGCACTGTTTTGGCTGAGTGTAGACAGGATGGATAACCCTGCCTTCTTTCTAGGTTTAGGGAGAAGCATGCAGGTTTTTATCACCATGTGGAGTTAGGTATGGGGTTCTGGTAGATGCCTTTTATCAAACCAATTCCTATCATGTGCCTATTTTTCTGAGAGCTTTTATCAAATGTGAGCATTGGATTATTTCATTTAATTTTTTGCTTTAACTAATAGCATCATATATTTTTCTTTTTACCTGTTAATAGAGTAAATTGTAGTGAACAATGTGATTTTCCGATTTAGAACTGTCCTCACACCTTTAAAATAATTTCTACTATAGGGATAAAGAGCAGAAGTTAAGAACATACTGCTCTTGCAAAGGACCAAAGATCAGTTCCCAGTACCCCTGTCGGGTGTCTCATGTCTCACACCTGCCTATTGCTCCAGCTTCAGGGGACCTGATGCTGTCTTCTTGCCTCCATGAGCACATGTACATAACACACACACACACACACACACACACACACACACACACTTTAAAAATAAAACATATTTAAAAATAATTCTACTGGAGTTGTATTTACAACTTATTGTTAAATTTAATTTGTTAGTGTTTTATTAAGGGTTTTATGCTTGAATTGTCAACCTTCAGCAATTGTTATCCTGTTTATCTCTCTCTGGTTTGGGTTTTTAGACACACTAGCCTCGTAAAATGATTTAGCATTTACTTTTTCTGTATCTCCAAGCAGAGATTGTGCCAGGTCAATTTTATCTTTAAATATCTGGAAGAATTCATTAATGAAATCATCTGGGGCTGGAGATTTCAGTTTTTGAGAGAACTTTCTCTAATTAAAAATTCAATTTGCTTGTATGAATCTAGAAAACATCATATTGAGTGAGGTAACCCAGATCCAGAAATACAATTATCATATGTACTCACTCATAAGTGGCTTTTAGACATAAAACAAAGAAAGACAGCCTACAAATCACAATCCCAGAGAACCTAGACAACAATGAGGATACTAAGAGAGACATTCGTAAATCTAATCTACATGGGAAGTAGAAAAAGACAAGATCTCCTGAGTAAATTGGGACATGGGGACCATGGGAGAGGGTTGAAGGGGAGGAGAGAGGAAGGAAGGGGAGAAGAGAAAAATGGAAAAATGTAGGGCTCAATAAAATCAATTTTAAAAATTCATTTTTTTAAATATATCTGGGGCTCCTCAGATCAAATGTGTCTATTTTGTACCAGTTTACATAATATATTCATTTCCTGCAGCTACCTTAACAAACTATCATACTGTGGACAATTTAGAGACACATGAAGACTTCGAAGTCCAAAGCAAAGTTGTCAAGAGGGCCATGCTCCTTGTGACACACATGGAGAAGCCTCCTTCCTTGACTTTTCCCACTTACTGCCCAACACTCTTCTTTTGAATGGCAGTGTGACTCCAGCCCCCACCTTCTTTGTCTTGGGGTACTCTCTCTGGAGCCTCCAAGGTCACTTCCACTCTTTCCACTCTATGCATTCCTGTGTACAAACTCCCCTGTCTGGCTTTCAAGATTGCGGACCCCAGGCTCCTTTCTGGCCTCACCGACAGCTCTGTAGCTATGTCTCTATGTTGTGAACAAGGCAATTGTATGGCCTCATTACTTCTGAGTTATACCTCCTCTAAATTGCCACCAAGGTTCCACTGACATCAAGGTAGGGAGCTGAACACAGGTTGCTGTGGGCTGTAGGAGCTAAAATTCTCCCCACTTACTTTGCCTGTATGGCACCTCTGTGTGTGGAGTTGTGGCTGGTTAGGGGTACCCACTGTTGGTGCCTGTTTGTGGAACTGTCTGCTTCATGGGTGCTGTGCTGAGAGTACACAAGATAAGGGCCATGCTGCTTCTTCCTGGAGGGGATTCAAGCTCCTGGTCCACACTTAGTCTTCCCTTCACTACATGGCTTTGGAATGGCTTGAATCCATCTAGCCCGGGATAGTGAAACATTGGCTTTACCCTTACCCTCTTACTCTACAATTCAGAATGGGATTTTCTCTTCTAACATTCTGCCATCATGAAGCAGGTATCTGTACATTGCCTGGCTAGGCTGTCTCTGTCATTTGACTAGAGACCCACACACATTCCTTGCAGGTTCAGCCCCTGAATTGCTCCCCATGCTTCTGCCAGCTTTTTTTTTTTCTATATACAATTCATAATATGGAGAGCCCTAGTTATCCTTGCAAGAGCAAAGGGGAAGATTTTATTTATTCCATCTTCCCATTCCTGGAAGTCCCGGGGCTTTCATTTTTAGTGTGCTTTTCAATTAAAAGAGAAAGGGCAGAACGCCCCATGCCCTCATCTTAACAGACAGTTGCTACCACCAGTGTCTTGATTCCTTTCTTCTTTAAAAATAAAGGCTGTTTATGCTCAAAGCGATGCCGAGCAGACAAACAGCAGCAGTGGAGCTTGCGTTCAGGTTCTGAAAGCTGCCGCAGAAGGACCGCCACTGTCGCGAGTTTTGAGACCTTTTCTGCTCATAGGGTCTAACAGGTGAGAGACGGCAAGTTCCATTTAAGGGAAATGAAGAGAGGTGAAAATTAAAAACAGGACGGGATGCTTAAAGGAAAGCAAAAGAGCTGGGTGCTTTGGCACAAGTGATCACGCACGCATCTCCTCTACTGTTGTAGAGGACAAATCACAGAGGGTCTTCTAGGCGAAGCGGGCACCACCAGTGGGGACAAGGGAAAAGTGAAATCGCCAAAAGTGAGCTTGTGAATGCGGCCAAGTGGGTGAGCAACTTTGGGGCTCACACCTGGTGTGCACCAGAAAAAGCAAGGGGCGGGGACTGGAATAAGGGGGAGGGGGAGCCAGCGGGGAGCGACTGAGTGTAAGGCTCCGTAAGTCAGTCGCCTGAGATTGGAGACCTAGAAGGGAGGCGGGAATTAGACTGAAGGGTTAAGTCTACCCAACAGTCTCCAAGATCTGAGCAGACCACAGGAGGCGCCACTAGGACGTCTCCACTGCGCTCCGTGACTAGGGAGGAGCGGGCCTCAGTCTCAGCTGCGGGTCTCGGCCAGAGCGGCTCCAGCCTGCGCGTCTCTGTCCCTCCGAGGGGCGCTCAGGCTCCCTAGCCTTCGCCTGCGCTGTCAGCTTTTCTCTACCCGCAATCAACCATGGATGTCCACTCCTTGCTTTCCGTTCAAAGGTAAGAATCGCTTCCCTATATGCCAAATGCTACGTCCCTTCAACTCCGCTATAAACTGGAGATCACAGGCAAAGTTGCTTTCCAGCATTCGCCCTGCTAGAGATACCCATGAAGAAGTTGAATCCCTGCGCTATGAGCGGTGGGATCAGCCCTCAGGGGACCTTGGTAGCTCCCGACTGGGTGGGGTCCGTGTGCTGGTGGAGGACAGTTAGGAGCCTGCCGCTAAGACTGTGAGACTGGGGTCTCCTCTGGCGGACAAAATGCCAAGATACCTGGGGAACCTGACTTCTAAGTGTATGTTACTGGAGCAGTTTCGCGCCTTGTTGTGGAATGATTTCCAAGGTGGAGAACAGAGACCAGAGGGAGCAAGACCAAAGCCAGTTTCTCCCCCACCCCCGTGCCACTGATCTTGACCTGGGCTAGTTTGGGGTCTCTGGAGTGAGGTACAGTGTCGTGTAGCATTGGGGGGGGGGGTCTCTTCGATCTCTCACTGACACCTAACCTGAGTCCACCTGCAATCCTGGGCAGAGACCTCCTCAGTTCTTTAGCATCTCTGAAGCGCTTACCAATTCCACCCTCTTTTCCCACTGCTGACAGGTAAGCGCAGCCACCTGAGAGATGCAGTTACAACGTTTTGTTGTCTGGTCTCCTCCTATCTCCCTTCCCACCGCTCCGGTTCTGTTCTCCTCCGGACCCAGCAGGAGAATTCAAAAATCTGTGTATTTTCTTCTACTCCCTATAAATCCCTGGATTGAATTGGTACTGTGGCTCCCCTGTGGTTCCCCAGCTGAGCAGGTGGTTTTGAGCCCTTTGTGCTCTGCCCAGCATGAAACTGAGCATTCACAATTCAGACCAAGTGCTCTGTTGAATGGCAACAGCCTGGGGTGTCAAGCGGTTGTCCACAACAGCCCCACTTCTCATCTCCCAGGGCTCAGTGCTGATGATCTTGTGGCTCTTCCTTCCTTCCTATCCCCACCCCACCCCCCAACCAGCCCAACAATAAACACTTGGAACTAGGATTCTGGAATTGCATTGGAACATAATGAGACAAAATACTCACAGGCAAAGTCTTACACCCAAGACAGGGTGACTGGAATAGGTTGAGTGTAAGGAGGTGGTAGATAATTGCCTTTCAAGGGTTCAGAGCCTGCCATCTCCAGTCTGGAGTGTTTATGCTGTGTGAGAGAACCAGCCTTCCCCCTTTCCCAGCCATCACCCACCTCAGTGGCCTTAGCAAAGTGAGCTTTCTACAAAACGCCTGGGGAAGCTCTTAAGTAAGCCTCTAATTCTCTGGCTCAACCAGGAATAAATGACCACGGAGTCTCTCTATTCCTACCTAATGTCTGAAAAAGCAAGGCAGTGCTGTGGGAGGGAAGATTTTAAAAGCTTAGAAATGTTGTTGATTTCTAGGTAAGAGAATACCACGTTTTAAAAGTCAAGTCTATTAGAGAGTTACTGTTTACTGCCTGGAGAAATGGTCCTTAGAACTGATGCCCTGAGGGCTAGGCATCCAGCTCCCCTATGGAGCTCTAGCCTTGCATGCCTGAGCCCCAAATTCAGTCCTCAGTTTCTCCACCCCACTCTCCACAATTGAAATGGTGAGCTAAGAAGTCCTTGCATTCCCAAAGAGGTGCTTTTGGTAACAAATCCCGTACTTTAAATCCTCCTTTTCAAGTTGTCTTGAATGTGCATCAGTCCTGCCTTAATTTCCTTCTAATCCTGAAACATTCTCTAAAATATTAAAAACACACCAGGCCAATAATTTATTCAGATCTTGTCTACTGTAGCACCAAAAGTGGCTTTATAAAGAGTAAACTAGTTGACGCTCCATATCTGAATCTTAATAACGTGTCTCCAGAAATAAACCTTTCAAATGTTATCACATACTTACCAAGAAGCAGCACATCATTTTATTTTACCCAGACTGTAATTTAATTTAGCAACACATCACTTATATTGTTAGGTCATAGGAGAAAAGCAATTTTTTTCATGAACTCAACTGTATACTAAACTAAAGCCGCATATCGGTGATGATCTATTGTAGCACCCTTGTTCATTCCTGTGTTTAGTGTAAGGAAGAATCAGTTTCTCTCCCATAAGATTTCATGGAAGGCCATCAGAATTTCCTTTTCGTGTGTGTGTGTGTGTGTGTGTGTGTGTGTGTGTGTGTGTGTGTGAAAACAGAAGTGAAATTTGAACTGCTATCTGTTTGCCCTGATTTAATCACCAGACTTGTTTGCAAAAGTTTGAATATTGAAGAACTGATGATTGGATATTCTACATGAGTGTTTTTGAGAAAATGGCAAGATGATCAAGTAATAATGAATTATTACTGATCAAGCATGCACTGTACAAACCTGAAACATTCTCAGTATTGAATAAAGTGAAACTAGTGCTTAAATATCAGCACTTCTTTTAAGCAAGACAAAATAATTTAGACATCTCTTCAACAATGCTCAGAGAAAACAACATGTTTTGGGAACACAGTGGATTAATTATAGGATACTTTGTGCTGTTGGCAGTTTTTTTTTCATTCTTGGTGTTTTCAATTAAAACAGCATACAAATGGAGCAGCACTCAAACAATACTGTGGTGACTGATCTCAAAATGGAATCTGAATAACAATTTTGTAGCTTTGAGACATGGGATTTTCTATTAACCTTGTATTTGCAAAGGTTTCAGTTTATTTTGACAATGAAGCTTTTGATTTTCAGGTATGTATGAAATTGTATGAAGTGCATTACAGACTTTTAAAAATTATTGAATATAGAAGCCAGACAATGTCTCCAAGAAGGAAATCAAGCAGTAGGGAAATCAAATAGTCTCACATTAGACATATTATAAACCCAGAATTTCATTTTCTTTTATGGCTTGTCATCTGGTAGAAATAAAATGGTTTTAAATAATAAAGGTTTTTATTTTAGCTTGGTTATTTTTACAGCCAATGTGTTGGGAGCATTTTTTTTATTTCTTTTATTTGTTTATTTATTTATTTATTTAAGATTTCTGCTTCCTCCCCACCACCGCCTCCCATTTACCTCCCCCTCCCCCGATCAAGTCCCCTTCTGTGGGAGCCTAGGCAGCTTGGATGCTCACCTTACTAGACCTGGATGGAGGTGGGTGGTCCTTGGACTTCCCACAGGGCAGGGAACCCTGATTGCTCTCCAGGCTGATGAGGGAGGGAGCATTTCTTTATCTGTTTGATAAAGTTTATTTGATTTGCTAAGTCACATAACTAGGTGTAGAGATAAAAGGATCTATGTTCTATCCCAAGTATTTCCTGTACCACACTTATTCCTGTACCATAGCTAACCTTAGTGGATGTAAGACAATGTTGTTTACATGAATAACTGTGCACAATCACATTCAGATATTATTAAGTGTCATCCCACATATTAAATTGCTTGATCATCACATCCTTGAGAGTTAATTATAACAGATATTACTTCTACTTCATAGCAAAAACTCGGAAGCCAAAGAAAATTAAATAAAGCAAATATTGGATTTAGAAGTCCATATATAACACCTAGGACACCCCAGAGTTCTTCCAGCTTCACATCCAATTTTTGTTTGTTTGTCTTATTTTTTCTTATATTTAAGGGTAATTCTGAACTCACAATTAAATAAGAGAGAAAGAAATGCTGGTGCAACTTTAATGGTAACATTGTTCTCAGACACCTGGGGCATCCTAAATGCTAAATGGTCCTTAAAGCAGCAAGCCTCAAAACAAAGATTAAAAAAATACATTTTTCAAAAAAATAAATTACAAACAAATTATTTTTTCACCCACACCATAATTGAGATGGAATTTGAAGTTGAAGAAAGAGTTAATCTGCTTTGTAAACATTTACATTTCTATACTGTGTGGAATAGAGTATAAAATTCTTTTTGTTTTGTTGGGCTTCCTAGATTCTATTTTGATCATACACTTTCTATGTGGGCCTTTGGAGGAAAAACCTAAAAGCTTGTTTAGAAGAAAAATATGAATTATTGATTTCATCATTTTATTTTACCCAGCCTATAATTTAATTTAGCAACACATCTTTTATATTGTTAGGTCCTAGGAGCAAAGCATTTTTTTTTTTCAGAGACTCAACAAGTCAAAACTGTATACTAACCTAAAGCTATACATTGGTATATTTTTTGGTGAATTTTTATAGGTTTTCAAATTCTTAAAGAAGGAGAACTGTACCAGGCGGTGGTGGCCCACACCTTTCATCCCAGGCCTCAGGAGGAAGAGGCAGATCTCAGTGAGTTTGAGGACAATCTGGTCTATAAAGTAAGTTCCAGGACAGCCAAAGATACACAGAGAAAACCTGTCTCAAAAAAACCAAAAACCATTTTAAAAAAATAGAGAAAGCAGGTGTATAGCTTCATTTCTGCGTGTTGACTAACTAACGAGCCTGAGGTAGCACTGGCCTGAACCTTTTGTGTGGAGGGGCAGGTTTAAGGCTCACATGCAACTCTGAGGGGTAGCTGATGTTTTTTCATGGAATACAACTCTGTCTCCCCAATCCAACACTAAGACGCATCCACATCCCCTAGCTCACAAAAGCCAGGATGCTTCCAGTCCAGAAGTAACTTCCTATATAGACAGAGAAACTTGGAGTTAGGAATCTAGACAAACATACAAGATTGGAGGTGCTGGCTTTGCCTCTGTGACATGGGCACATTGTGAAGTAACAGGAATTCTCAAAGCAATTTCTAATGAAAACACCTTTATAAAGACCCTTGAAATAGACGGTTTACTGTACTGGCAACTTTCGTGGGCACCTGGCTTCCATCTCTGTGCTTCCCTTGGTAAAATATGTATATATCTTATACATATTTGTATACATAGTTGTAAATGATTACCCTGCAAGTCAGCTCTTCGAGAACTTCTTGTCCATAAGGGAATTGCTCACTTGGATAGCCCTCCTCAGCTGCATGCTCTTTGGCTGTCTGTGGGAGAGTTTTCTCCACATAGAATGTTAGGGTGGAAAAAAGAAATGGTGGTGCAT